TTTAATTTCAGATCATTTACCTATTAACTATGTCTTTTTTAAAACTTTATTAGTAAGTGGGCAGTGCCTATGGTTCAGTGAGTAGGGCTCCAGCCCCATATACCGAGGGTGGTGGGTTCAGACCCAGCCCCGGCCAAACTGCAACAAAACATAGCCAGGCGTTGTGGCGGGCGCCTGTAGTCCCAGCTACTCAGGAGGCTGAGGCAAGAGAATCACCTAAGCTCAAGAGCTGAAGGTTGCTGTGAGCTGTGACGCCACCGTACTCTATCGAGGATGCCAAAGTGAAACTCTGTTTCTTAAAAAAAAAAACACAAAAACTTTATTGTTAAAAATGAAGCTGTTCTTAGCATTTTTGTGCTTTTAATTATAAATTTAGGAGAAGGGGAACATTAAAATAGAAGAGAAAGTTCTGTCTTGTTTGGAGCTGTGAGAAAATACCAGTTGAGCAGTGTTTTCTGGGTATTTTTCCCCTTTTTGCTACTTTTATAAAATGATCACTTCTATTATTCCTAGAACCCAATCTATGTTTCAAAAGCTTGTCAGACATGCAGTCAGTAAATGCCATGTTAATTGCCCTATCTACATGTTACAGATTTTAAAAGTAGTGGTATTTAACTTCTTTTTAAAAAGATTCTTGTGCAAAATACATAACAAGTTGGTTTTTCTTAACCTTGATATTTCAGGCTAGATTTCTCACATGGACTCAGAAGACCTGTACTCTTATAGTTTGTAAAACTGTAGAACAAAGAAACATAAAAGAATGGTGCTTTTTCTTTTTCCCTTCAGCGGTCTCTGGGGCTGGGCTGGGGCTCAGCATTGCCTGGGACCTGCCCTTGGCATCCTCCCCTGTGGAGGGTGTGGCAGGTTCATTCTGCAGGATTGCATCCACTTCATGAAAGCACTTCATAGTGTTAGAGCTGTCTCCAGAGTTGTGGGCATATTGAACTGTCCTATATTCATATTTGAGATTTTTATACTTTGCCCGGCACTGTTTCCAGTCTCTGTGGACTCCTAATGATTGCAGCCTTTTAGCAATGTAAATAAATATTCCTTTATTTCTCAGGGTCCCCTGAAGTTGTTTTTGTATATTTTTTTCTGCCCAGACACTTAGCAGAGCTTTAACCTCCTCCTCAGTCCAATGCTTTCCTGCTCCACTCCATGTTCAAAGTGACCTGGAAATGATTCACTCTTTCCAGCCGAGGTTTGTTTCCTAGGAAACCAGAAGGGCTGGTTGTCAATAAGCTCTGCAGGGCTAAAAGGATCTGCTTTAACTGGTTCAAGCTGCCTGAGGGAGTAACTTGAGGAACTGCCAAATAAGCAGGCTTTGTTGGTTAAAGAAGCCTGGACAGAAATGATTCCTACCCTTTTTCTTTCCAGCTTTAAGGAAAAATTAACCCTTGGAACAGTAGGAAAAGAAAACCACGTTTTTGTCTTTGTTTTCTTCTTACCGAATGATTATTGATTTTTGGAAATACGTGGCAGGGGTTCATTTTGCACTGAGGTTTGTAGCTGATGTTACCATGTTTTTTCTCTGTCGTGAATCACCAAGTGGTTACGCTGGCCACAGGGCCAGCTAAAGCAACAATGACGACTGCAACAACAACAAAAAAAAATAGCCAGGCGTTGTGGCAGACGCCTGTCATCCCAGGTACTCGGGAGGCTGAGGCAAGAGAATCACTGAAGCCCAAGAGTTTGAGGTTGCTGTGAGCCGTTATGCTATGGCACACTCTACCCAGGGTCACATAGTAGGACTCTGTCTCGGGGGGAAAAAAAAAGATCACAGCAGTCCACTAATTGCAAGAAATCCTGAATCACTATTTAGTCTCATAAACTGTATAGTACTGTGCATATCTGCTTTTCAGCTTAGTATTCAATGTATTGACTAAAATCATTTCATTTTTTTCTAGATTTTTACTTTGTAGGTATGTTTAATGTTGTTTTTAAATGCCTAAACAATTACAATATATACTTTTGAAAAACATTCTTTTTTTTGAGAGAGAGAGAGTCTCTCTCTACTGTGTCGCCCTACACAGTAGAATGTGGTGGCATCACTGTTCACAGCAACCTCAAACTCTTGGACTTAAACTATTCTCTTGCCTCAGCCTCCTGAGTACCTGGAACTACAGGTGCCCGCCACAAAGCCCAGCTATTTTTGTTGTTGTTGCAGTTGTCATTGTTGTTTTAGCTGGCCTGGGTCAGGTTCGAACCTGCCACCCTCTGTGTATGTGGCTGGCGCCCTGCCAACTAAGCTACAGGTGCTGCCTGAAAGATTCTTTTTTACCAAATAAATCAGTATAGTAGCAATTACTAAAGTCTACATACACATAGAAGAGGTTTACTTTTTATTTTTAACCCTTATAAATATTCTTTGGAACAAAAATTTGTCCGTAAACATCTAGTCTTTATATCACTTATTCAGAACTATTAAAAATGAGCAGTTGGAACCTTTATTTTATTGGAGTTGATACTGTACAGTGATGTAGATCCTCTAAGGCTTAAGATGCTCAGGCTCCAGTCTACATTTTGGCTTTTTTTGGTCTGTTTCATCACTTTAAAATACTATTGCAGGAAATAAGAGACAGACCTGGGAAAGGGTGCCTGGTCAGCAGAGGGTTTTTAGAAGCAGCATTTGTTTTTTTCTGATAAGAAAAGCATTTCCCCCGTATTACATTTAGAGATTTGTATGTACTAATATATCTACATACTGTGGAAGTGAAAATAAAAATGTAGAGCCAAATCCCTAAATTTAACATTGTATTCAGGAAGAAAGAATTGCAGTTCGAGGCATACATGCAGCCTAGGTGATTGCTGTTCTGAAGAATAGAGAAGGTTGGGGTGTTGATAAAAGAACCACGTGGGATCCCAAGAGAAAGTTCACTGATATTAGTAAAGCTTTAGGGAGCTGAGACGCTCCAGTTGGTGGGCAGCAGTCGTGGGAAAAATTGGTACTAGAATTGGAGCAAGTTATCTCAGCAGATGCCAGTAAACCTGGTTTCAGGTTACAATAGGCAGTTTCAGCGACTGGACTTGCAGAGAATTTTATTTCTAAAGCAGTACTATACATCTGGTTGCTTTTTCTTTCTGACCTCACAACTCCATTGGATATGACCTAATTTGGACCATCAACTTCTAACAGTACTCATCCTGTTGAAACCTTATTTTGAGGCCACAGTGTAGGGATTTAGAAGCACAAATTCTGGTCTGTATCACCTGCTGTCTATGTAACATTGGGCAAGTTCACTTACTTCCTTTCCCTTCCTATTTCAGATTAACATGAGGCTACAAATGATTAGGTTACATCTTCATGTCTAAGGTCAAGTTCAAGTTGTAGTTGAACCATCATCCAGGGAGCATGCTGTACATCCTCACATTGTGCACATTAGGTGATAGTTTAATAGTCACCCTCCCTCTCCCCTTTCCCCTTCCCTCCTCCCGCCTGTCCCCCACTTGAATCTACTTTTGTTCTTCTCTCATGTGGTTGTATAGTGGTTTTTCTATTGGCTTCATATTAGTATTGAGTAGATTGGCTACTAGCTTTGCTATTCTTGTGATCCTTTTCTAAGAAGAATATTCTTCAAGTAAATACAAAGATGTAAGTCTCCATCTTTATGACTGAATGGGTTCCATGGTGTACATATGCTATAGTTCATTAATCCATTCATGGATTGATGGGCACTTGGGCTGATTCCACATCGTGGCAATTGTGAACTGAACTGCAATAAACATCCTAGTGCAAATGTCCTTGTAGTAAAATGATTTTTTTTCTTCTGAGTAGATATCTAGTAATGGGATTGTGAGATCCCATGCTCATTTTACCAAAAAAAAAAAAAAAA